ATTCACACCAAGAAATTATACTGATTGGTCGAAAATTAAACCATTTCTACCAGACAGAAATACAAAAGGAAAAAAATGGAGAATTTGGGGGAAAATCGAAGAGAACTTCTCTTCACATACGCATAATGGAAGTTTTAAGATCCTGGCCAGTGTTGGTTCCCCACTCAGAGGACATTCATACACAGATGACAGTAAAGAAATGGGTCACATCTTGCAAGAACAGCAGCATGAATCAGTTTTCAACGACTCTATCGACGCCATCATAGTTGGAGATTCAGAATGCTAAAGAGATAGACAAGCAGCATCTGGGTATGATTCCTGGAATGTGTTACCTAGTTTATCGCACAATTTGCTTATATTATTATTATTATTACTATTATTATTATATAAAATACAAATGCTAATTAGTAACAGTAGGAAATGTTAAATATGGAAAACGCAAATATTTTATTTAATTCATATTTCGACGATTTAGTGCGGTTTTAAACATTTTCTGACATTTAAAATTTTACGTGAAAACTGTTAAGGTTTACTACATGAAATTAAATAGGCAGCATTGACTGGAGAAGGAACTTACATTCGGGTGAAATCCCAAAGGAAAACTTTAAAAAAGCGGAGACAAGGCCCCTGAGCGTGGAACTCGGTGCACCTGATTTTGTACAGCAAGTAGAAAATGTGTGAAGGGTTGTAACCAGCCTGAGGGGAGCGACCTTGACACAGAGGATGACCAGGGTTCACATTGTTACAAAGTTCAAAATATTAAAGAGGAATTGGTAGGGATATGTTGTTTGATTTTTGAGGCCCCGAGAGCAAGGAGACGCTGGTGAAAGTCGTAAGGTACGTGAGAAACACAAGGATATAAGAAATACTCAAATAACCATCACATGTGAGAAAAGCCTACGAAGTCACACTGTGTGACTTGTAAATGGTCCAAGTCTGACCGAAACGTCATCGTAAGCTCTCTCCTGTGTGCAGGTTATTTGTGTATTGTTCCAGTCACGATATTGTGACTTTTTGTCCGATATAAGAAAGTTCGTCCTCAGTCTCGGGATGGTAGAAAAGTGAAACAAGATTGATGGGAAATTGGCGATGGCCAAATAAACACAGTTTTATGATGAGGTACGATAAGTTCTAAGATGTCAGAAGCAAGTAGTTAGCGATGCGGGAAGGTTTAGCTCCTCTTTTTTGATTATATTAATAATAATAGAGAGGCGGGACCATGAGTCAAGACTCGACCCTCGAAAACACAAAATTGTTGAGCGCATGTACCCCTATCCCTCCCCTCTCCTTATTTCCCCCTCCCCTCTCCTTATTTCCCCCTCCCCTCTCCTTATTTCCCCCTCCCCTCTTCTCCTCTTCCCTCCCCTCTTCTCCTCTTCCCTCCCATTCTCTGCCTCTCACTCACACATAACGAAGAAATTCATCTTGCGTGTATTGCAGCGGGGAATCAATTATTAGTTTCAATTCCACGTTATATGTAGTTAAATGAGTTCTCATACATTTAATATACGCATTAATTTTTTTACACACACAACACCTATATATATATATATATATATATATATATATATATATATATATATATATATATATATATATAATATTATATATATATTATATATATATATATATATATATATATATATTATATATATATATATATATATATATATATATTTATATATATATATATATATATATATATATATATTATATATATATATATATTATATATATATATATATATATATATATATATATATATATATATATATATATATATATATATATATATATATATATATATATATATATATATATTATATATATATATATATATATATATATATATATATATATATATATATATATATATATATATATATATATATATATATTATATATATATATATATATATATATATATATATATATATATATATATATATAATATATATATATATATATATAATATATATATATATATATATATATATATATATATATATATATATATATATATATATATATATATATATATATATTATATATATATATATATAATCAAGTATCTTGGTGTTCATATGCATATTCAAGGCAATACTGAGGTGTTGACAACACCTGGCTTGTAGGACGGCAGGTGGTGCTTGTAGGACGGCAGGTGGTGCATGTAGGACGGCAGGTGGTGCATGTAGGACGGCAGGTGGTGCTTGTAGGACGACAGATGGTGCTTGTAGGACAGCAGGTGGTGCCCACAGATATTTATAGACACCTGGTGCACACCAAGCCTGTTATTATAGTCTTCACAAAGATTTTGTGAATGCCTCGTGAGTATGTTCCACACGCTGGCGACTTTTTTCTCACATGTATTTTTCAGCAGTCTTCTTCATGTTTAATTGTGTACGACAGATCTTTATTTGTGTAATTCAGGTTTTCTTCCATATTATTGACGGTGAGAAACTGAGTAGCTTACAGTTTCCTGGAAGACTTATGAAGGAATGTATTGAATATTGTGATGTGTTTCTCACAGTGGTGGTTGTGCTTTGGTGGCCACCAGAGTGTGTATGTGGCCACCAGAGAGTGTAGGTGGCCACCAGAGTGTGTAGGTGGCCACCAGAGAGTGTGTAGGTGGCCACCAGAGTGTAGGTGGCCACCAGAGAGTGTGTAGGTGGCCACCAGAGAGTGTGTAGGTGGCCACCAGAGAGTGTGTAGGTGACCACCAGAGAGTATGTAGGTGACCACCACAGAGTGTGTAGGTGGCCACCAGAGAGTGTGTAGGTGACCACCAGAGAGTGTGTAGGTGGCCACCAGAGTGTGTAGGTGGCCACCAGAGTGTGTATTTGGCCACCAGAGTGTGTAGGTGGCCACCAGAGAGTGTGTAGGTGGCCACCAGAGAGTGTGTAGGTGGCCACCAGAGAGTGTGTAGGTGGCCACCAGAGTGTGTAGGTGGCCACCAGAGTGTGTAGGTGGCCACCAGAGTGTGTAGGTGGCCACCAGAGTGTGTAGGTGGCCACCAGAGTGTGTAGGTGGCCACCAGAGTGTGTAGGTGGCCACCAGAGAGTGTGTAGGTGGCCACCAGAGAGTGTAGGTGGCCACCAGAGTGTGTAGGTGGCCACCAGAGTGTGTAGGTGGCCACCAGAGAGTGTAGGTGGCCACCAGAGTGTGTGTAGGTGGCCACCAGAGAGTGTGTAGGTGGCCACCAGAGAGTGTATAGGTGGCCGTTAGGAAGTGTGTAGGTGGCCGTTAGGAAGTGTGTAGGTGGCCGTCAGGAAGTGTATAGGTGGCCACCAGGAAGTGTATAGGTGGCCACCAGGAAGTATATAGGTGGCCACCAGGAAGTGTACAAGTGTAGTGTACAGGTGGCTATCAGGAAGTGTATATGTGGTACCAGGAAGTGTACAGGTGGCTACCAGGAAGTGTACAAGTGGCTACCAGGAAGTGTATATGTGGTACCAGGAAGTGTGCAGGTGGCCACCACTAAGTGTACAAGTGTCTACCAGGAAGTGTAAAAGTGTCTACCAGGAAGTGTACAGGTGGCTACCAGGAAGTGTATATGTGGTATCAGGAAGTGTACAGGTGGCCACCACTAAGTGTACAAGTGTCTACCAGGAAGTGTAAAAGCGTCTACCAGGAAGTGTACAGGTGGCTACCAGGAAGTGTATATGTGGTACCAGGAAGTGTACAGGTGGCCACCACTAAGTGTACAAGTGTCTACCAGGAAGTGTACAGGTGGCCACCACTAAGTGTACAAGTGTCGACCAGGAAGTGTAAAAGTGTCTACCAGGAAGTGTACAGGTGGCTAACAGATAGTGTATATGTAGGTTACGAAGGAATGTGTACGGTGGCCACCACTAATGTACAATGTCTACCAGGAAGTGTAATGTCTACCAGCGAAGTGTACAGGTGGCTACAGGAGTGTATATAGTGGTACCAGAAGTTACAGTGTGCCACCACTAAGTGTTACAAGTGTTACCAGGAAGTGTAAAAGTGTCTACCAGGAAGTGTACAGGTGGCTACCAGGAAGTGTATATGTGGTACCAGGAAGTGTACAGGTGGCCACCACTAAGTGTACAAGTGTCTACCAGGAAGTGTAAAAGTGTCTACCAGGAAGTGTACAGGTGGCTACCAGGAAGTGTATATGTGGTACCAGGAAGTGTACAGGTGGCCACCACTAAGTGTACAAGTGTCTACCAGGAAGTGTAAAAGTGTCTACCAGGAAGTGTACAGGTGGCCACCACTAAGTGTACAAGTGTCTACCAGGAAGTGTACATATGACCACTAATCAAACATTAGTGGTCATATGTACACGGCCTCCTCAAGATAGGTTCTTTCGTGCTAGTGAGGGGGAGACTGATCCAAACAATTGGACCTGACCTTCCCTACCTTGCCTTGAATTTTATTGTCTCCCATTTTCCCAGGCGCTGTGTGAGTCCTACGGGTTTACCGCTCCGCTTATGGGTAATAATAACAATAAATTCTCACAGTGGTTGTACCTGCTATCTACAGGTTGTCTTAGGTGATTACCAGAAAGTGTGAGAAATGTTAGGTGATGACCAGGAAGCAGGGAGAGGGAACCTGACTAAACAACTGACTCTCTTTTGATGATTAAGACACTTGTGCAACAGTTGGGTATCTTTATTGTTGAAATGTTTCGCCTACACAGTAGGCTTCTTCAGTCAGTTACAGAGCCAGCAGGTGTAGTGATGAAATGATGAATTCAGCTCCATGGAGCTGAACTCTTCTCCAGACTGAGGGACTGGCCACCTCAGTTACTATTTATCCAAGGTTAATGGACTGATTACATCATCTTCATTTCACTTCTACACCTGCTGCCTCTGTATTTGACTGAAGAAACCTGTGTAGGCGAAACGTTTCATCAATAAAGATACCCAACTGTTGCATGTGTCTTCATGTATCATCAACTTGTCGGTATTTTATACCATTTTCAACGTAACTGTTTTCCTTTACAGAAACTAATGTGTTGTTTTCTGTGTTTGCAGATAAGATGGGAGAAAAATATAACATTAGGGGAGCCGCCGGGGTTTCTACATTCGTGGTGGTGGTGAGTATTATCAGCACTCTTATTCCAGCAGAGTGTGAACCAGTGAACCAGTGAGTGTGAACGAGTGCACCAGTGAGAGTGAACCAGTGAGTGTGAACGAGTGAGAGTGGGCGAGTATGTGAATATGGATATGAAGACTCATCATGAAAGACAAGAATTTTGATATAAGTAAACAGTTTCGGACTATTTGGCGAGTCGTGGTTTCGGGGGCGGGGACCCATGAAATCGACTCCAGGTAGGTAGCGTGCGCCAGGATGTGAGAAGGGTGGACTGTGGCCAGATTGCTTTAGAAAGATAAGTGAGCAAACACTAGAACATATTTATTAGAAAAGTTTCGGTCCTAGGACCGAAACGTTTTCTAATATGTCCTAGTGTTTGCTCACGTGTCTTTCTAAACAAGCTTGCCAATATCTAATATCAAAGTTTATACCATACTGTGGATAGATAAGTAGATAGTATGGTTGGATACATAAACACGAATTCAGTATAATGCAGTCCTTTATTGGCCACGTTTCGCCCATACAGTGGGCTTTATCAAGACACAGATCTACCTGGCTGAAGAGTACACGAGTATATGGGTGGAGAATGCTGGATAGGTTGAATTTGAAACTGACTTGCACGGGATGGGCGAGAAATCCAACTTATCCTGCATTCTCCACCTGACTACACTATATATACTCATATACTCTTTACCCAGGTGTCCTTAGTCGTTCTGGCACTCGGGCTGCGGCCTGAGCGCCAGGAATGGCTCAGTTGGAGTTGAAAGAGTAACCGTGCCCTCACCATAGGGCTGTAAACTGGACACCACTTGTACCAACTCTGACACTCCTTCGAAAGCCACTGTTGGGTCACCACATGGAGAAGACCCGGGCCAGGACACGTCCTGGCGAACCTTCCTGTACTTGTTTAGCCAGGTAGATCTGTTTGTGACTTGCTAAAGCCCACTGTGTCGGCGAAACAAAGTCAACAAAGGATCGCATTACACTGCATCTGTGTTTAATTTTCCATCGTGTCGGTATTTTATACTTTTTATCTCTAGATAGTATGATTGATGTGGAAAAAGACAATGTATAGTTCAGGACATTTATTAAAGTATACGTTTAGCCACGAGTGGATTCTTCAGGTGGAAGGTCGCGAGGGTCGCGAAATTCCGCCTGACTCCTGCCAGTACATATACTCGCTTCTTAGTTATCTCTGTGTATTAGGACTGAAGAAGTCACTCGTGGTGAAACGTTTCCTTTAATAAATGTCCTGAACTGTACATAAGTGTCTTTTTCTACATTTGCCGGTATTACCATACTATTTCTCAGTATGGTTGAGGGCGAGGCACCTCCTATCTCCTTTTCCCTCCTCCGCTTTCCTTCAGCCTATCTGTTTTTGTCTGCAGACGAGAGAAGTCTTAACATGTACCAAACAGTTACTGGAGTATAAATGGAATACAAGAGTTTTGCTAGGCCTATGGCTCATCGGCTGCACGTTGTTTCATTAAAACTTTCAGGGGAATAACAATGAAGCTGGAAGCACCAAGTTTTAAGTTAGATAAATTTAGATTTAGAAAGGACATAGGTTTGTACTGGCATGAAACAGTCTTCCGAGTAAGGTAATAGAGACTGAGACCTTGAGCAGCTTTAAAAAGAGAGTGAACAAAGATATAAGTGAGAAAGGCTGGGTCTGATTCGTACCCGAGGTGAAAATTTGACATGTACAGCATCTGGGTATCTTCATCGTAGACGCTTCGCCATCCAGTGGCTTTATCAATACAAATTCATGGACATAATTGGAAGACAGTCCCTCAGCCTTGGAGTTTGTGAGAAGAGCACCGTAGTCGTGAAGATTCTTCACGACTACGGTGCTAATAGCTACAAAATTGTGCTATTAAAATAATTGTAATATTTTAGCCAGTATCGAAACAATGGTAGTTACTAGTATTATCAGCATTACCTGTTATTACGAACACAGGTAATGTTAATGGCCTGCTGACCTGGTCGTAATGGGTTTGGAGTGAAAATAAACACAGCAGTATTTAACTTATATTTTCCTTCACCAAATGTTTATATACAAATATGTACACTACGTACAAGAATGGTGTATAGGTGTACCACACGGCGATAGAGACAAAGACAGCAGCCTGAGAGAGAGAACCGTGCTTAAACCAGCTAGAGGCGAATCTGGCAAATGCTGACCAAGAGTGATACCACATCGTCTCAGCACTTGCTGGGCTCGTCTGTGATTGGTCACTGAACCAAGCTACTGATTTAACGATGGGGCCCCTAAGATCGTTAAACCCTTAGCACTCGGTTTGCTGGTTGGGAGGCAGTCTATATGGGAGTGTGTACATACGCCGAATAAAGTAACGTACTCTTTGCATGCCACACCTGTAGTAACTAACATGACTGTAGTAGCAGTTGTAGTAACGGTGATGCGACTGTGGTAGCAGTTGTAGTAACGGTGATGCGACTGTGGTAGCAGTTGTAAACTGGTAGTAGTGATGTGACGTCGTAATGCTATAGTATCCACAGTGATTAAGATCAGATTTGAGGAAATATCCATGACCAAACCAGCCATAGAAGACGGAGTTTCAACACCGTACCACACCCACCCAAACAACACAAGACAGGATCAGTTAGTGGTATCATTATCCACAGGAACGTTAAAGTAGTGAGAGTACGGTAGTGTTACCTCCAACCATCACTACGTCGCTAGTCAACTCAGTATATCCAGTTTGCAGATAAAATCTATATTATATAAAAGTGCTTTGTCATCATCGTTGTTGTTCACTTGAGCAGACTCTGATGTAGTTTACTTCAGCAGACTCTGATGCAGTTTACTTCAGCAGACTCTGATGTAGTTTACTTCAGCAGACTCTGATGTAGTTTACTTCAGCAGACTCTGATGCAGTTTACTTCAGCAGACTCTGATGTAGTTTACTTCAGCAGACTCTGATGTAGTTTACTTCAGCAGACTCTGATGTAGTTTACTTCAGCAGACTCTGATGCAGTTTACTTCGGCAGACTCTGATGTAGTTTACTTCAGCAGACTCTGATGCAGTTTACTTCAGCAGACTCTGATGCAGTTTACTTCAGCAGACTCTGATGTAGTTTACTTCAGCAGACTCTGATGCAGTTTACTTCAGCAGACTCTGATGTAGTTTACTTCAGCAGACTCTGATGTAGTTTACTTCAGCAGACTCTGATGTAGTTTACTTCAGCAGACTCTGATGCAGTTTACTTCAGCAGACTCTGATGTAGTTTACTTCAGCAGACTCTGATGCAGTTTACTTCAGCAGACTCTGATGCAGTTTACTTCAGCAGACTCTGATGTAGTTTACTTCAGCAGACTCTGATGCAGTTTACTTCAGCAGACTCTGATGCAGTTTACTTCAGCAGACTCTGATGCAGTTTACTTCAGCAAACTCTGATGCAGTTTACTTCAGCAGACTCTGATGTAGTTTACTTCAGCAGACTCTGATGTAGTTTACTTCAGCAGACTCTGATGTAGTTTACTTCAGCAGACTCTGATGTAGTTTACTTCAGCAGACTCTGATGTAGTTTACTTCAGCAGACTCTGATGCAGTTTACTTCAGCAGACTCTGATGTAGTTTACTTCAGCAGACTCTGATGTAGTTTACTTCAGCAGACTCTGATGTAGTTTACTTCAGCAGACTCTGATGTAGTTTACTTCAGCAGACTCTGATGTAGTTTACTTCAGCAAACTCTGATGTAGTTTACTTCAGCAAACTCTGATGTAGTTTACTTCAGCAAACTCTGATGTAGTTTACTTCAGCAGACTCTGATGTAGTTTACTTCAGCAAACTCTGATGTAGTTTACTTCAGCAAACTCTGATGTAGTTTACTTCAGCAAACTCTGAGGTTTATTTGTTGAATTGCTGGTTTAGTCATAGTAATGAGTGCTGGTTAAGTATTGGCAGGAGTGTCCACTAATAGTGCTCACAGTAATAACTTGGTGATAAAATGCTTTTATTATGCTCGTTAAACTGTGTTCACGGTAAACTTTTGTCGTCCACAGTAAGCATAAAGTGTCATGCGTGTATGCTCGTTATTGTACTCATCTATTTTTATTTGCGGGGTTCGAGACTTAGCTCTTAATCTCGTTTCCTAAGCTACTTCTAGGCTGGAGTACTGCCGTACTCTAACAGCTCCGTTCAAGGCATGCGAAATTCCAGACATGGAGAATATGTAGAGAGCTTTCACTCCTCGCATAGATTCAGTCAGTTAAGCACCCAAATTACTGGGAACGTTTGAAGTACTTCGATCTGTACTCCTTGGAAGGTAGGCGAGAGTGGTACACTATAATCGACACCTGGAAATTTCTAGAAGATTTGGTCCCAAATCTGCCCACACACAAATCGTTCCCTTTGATATACCTTTGAATACCCATGAAAGTAAGAAACTTGGCTGACTGTAAAATAACTTCACGTTAACAGCAACAGCCTGGTTGAATAGACACTCAACAAAGAAAAAACTTGGCAGTGTCGGGGCTGTTAGGATATGAAAACATACGAACTCGGTCCCATTTCACAAAAATATGTCATAGATATACCACTTCCTCATCTGTTTCATTCAAGAATTCTATGTCTCGAGAGTACAGTAATTCCTGACATCCCTGTGGCTCATCTGTGTCTTTAGCTTCCACCTTTGTGCCCCTGTTCTTGGTCCTTGCACTTGTAACTCTCTCTTCATATCTGTCTTACCAAATCCTCTTAGAATTTTGTAGGTCGTAAACGTATTTCTTGCCATCTTTCTCTCCAAGTCGTCAGGCTTACGAAATTAAGCCTTACCTATCTCACTCGTAGAACATTCTTTGTTCGAAGACTCGTCTGGTTTCATACCTTTACACCTTTTCGAATTCGTGCACATGCATAATCAGATATTAACTCTGTTAAGCCGGACATATATTGTACATATGGTTTAGAACGACACGTAAGCAGACACTAAGACATACCAGAAAACATTTCGGTCCCGGGACTAAAACGTTTTCTA